CGGGGGCGGCGGCCGCGCAGCAGCGCGCGCAGAGCAGCAGCGAGACGCACGCCACGGCGGTCTTCATCACGGCGAGAGCACAGGAGGGACAATGGTGGGCCCCGCGCACCTCGATCCACCGCGATGTGCAGCTGGCCGCGGCCGCGCAATGTGCAGACGCGACGCGAAAATTATTGGGTCACGCGCGAATATGCCGGGATCAGCAACAGTGCGGGAGGCAGCGGCTTTAGCAACGGCGGAGGTTCATCGACCTAGAAGCTAGGGGAGGAGGCGGCCGCCCGCCCCGGAGTACAGCGCGCTGAGCTTGTACCTTGTACCCTTTGCGCCATTCGGCCTATTAAATTTTGACCATTTTCCCGAGGCTCAATCACAGAGCCCCCACATAATGAGAAGCTCCTTGCCGTCCTTATCCACGTTACGGGGGTTCATAGGGGAATAGCTGTAGTGTAGAGGGAAGTCCTTGCTTGACCACATATGGGTGTATATGCTCCCCATGGAAGCCAATTTTTTGTTTGTGTTGGATAGTCATTGGCGTCCAGTGTATGAAAGTAAGATAGCAGCATAAATGCGATTGTCGAACTTGTGGGGAACGCATGTTTAAGCCGGCACCGAGAGTCTTTGAAACAGGACACCAGGCGCCTAGACGGTAGGCAGCCCATTCAACGGCAAAGCACGATTGGTTGCCATTTTTACCTGCCAATAACGCTTCTGAGGGCGGTCTCATGCATAAATAGTGCAGACGTGGGTCCAAAATACTTCTCAAAATTTTCGGCCTATATCAGAATTAACGACATCTTGCTTTCGAATTGGATTCGTGGTGGAGAAGCTTTCAGTCCACAGCAGCTGTAACCGCTGTAACCCCGTGTAGACCTTGGTCAGCCCGCTCTTGTTGGCAAGCCGGCCGCTGTCACGGCCCTTTACAAAACAAGCGTTCGATGTCTTCGGCTTCGCCCGGTCGTCTGGTCGTCAGCCGCGTGTGAATGAACCATCCGGACGGACAGCCGAATTTTTACATGTGGCGTTGAAAATCTGATGCAATAGTAGTGAACCAATTGTATCTGTAAACATGGCTGATAACGAAGATTCGGTAAGTATTTCCTGGAGTTTCATTCGCTCAATGCTCTAGTTGAGATGTTTTCCTTCTCGGGTTGTGAAAGTTGCATCAGCCACTTCGGCTCAGCGGTTTTTCTCCCCATTCTGACCATTTACTCGCAATTAACTTCCAAATTTTAATAACAAACTATTGTAATTTTGCATTCTGTTACTTGGGGATAGTATGTAAATTTACAATGACTACTAAAATGAACTTGATGGGCGGCGACCGCCTAACCTAACTCTGTCCAGATGGCTCCAGGACAACTAATCAGTTTTGTTGACCCTATTTTCATACCCATTTCTCGCCCTTTGGATGTGTTAGAGAAAGCAGCAATGTCTGCTTCTAAAAAAAATTTTCAACCCAATTCATAATGTTAACACCCGTGTTCTTGAATTTTAATTACCAATGTGACCCTTCGTATTACTCTTCTGAATGTCAGAGGTATTATCATACTTTTTGGTCTTTTTGGTCTTTTATAGCACATTTTGGTGTTGTTTGTGTGTCGTCGAGCATATTTTCTTTTCTTATCCCTTAATTGGGGAGTCCCTAAATTTTGATTGCTCTAGATGCACTACTGTGTTTGTCTCATGTCTCATTTTATTTTATTGTAGGTGTTCGATCCTAGCCTTCTGAAAAAGAAGAAGAAGAAGAAGACCACAGCATTTGATATGGATGCGGCTATGGCTGAAGGTTCTCCTGCGGATGCATCCGACAACACTGACAAAGAGAACACGGAACCCGCATCAAACGTGGATAATATGGACATGGACGGTGAGCACTGACAGGATTCAAAATCTCGTAGCATGTCAGGTCCTGTGTTGTTTCATTAGTTTCATATTAATATATTGCGCTTTACAGATTTAGAAAGTTTTGGAAAAAAGAAGAAAAAGAAGAAGAAGGCCTTCAATTTGGAAGAATTAGACAGTGCTCTACCAACTGACACAACGGCAGACGAACCCAGTGAACCCCTGCAAGAAGATATGGTTGATGTAAGGTTTACACCACCTGTGTGACACTTGACTTTTAATGGACTTAAACATTTCATATACTTAACCTAATTTTATTTCATTCTTCATCACAGGATAGCTTTGACTATGATATGGACTTCAGCAAGACGAAAAAGAAAAAGAAGAAGAAGAAGGACCTAGATGATTTAGTTGCTGAAGACGAGAACGAAAAGGCTGCAGAGAAGGAAAATGGTTTGTACCACTATTTTATTTGTTAGCTGTTTTAGGTTTTTAGATGTGCTAGCTTTATTTTTGACAAACAAAAAGGAATTGGTAGGAAGTATTTTCATTGTATTCTGTAACTGTTTTCTCATGCTGCTAAGCAATGGATGGTATGAATGATAATGGTAAGTTTGATTATCATTCATTTCAGAAATTCATTTACCTAGTAGTACTGTACTTGTGGTTTGTTCAAAATTTGGAGCCAATACACCTAAATGAATTTAATTTTTACAAATTTTCTAATGCCATATTCTTGTGAAAAAGTTCATTGCTCACTAAGATTTGTTTTTGTTTTTGCAGAAAGTGATATTCAATCCTGGGGTGGTTCTGACCGTGACTACACCTATGATGAGCTTTTGAAGCGTGTGTTTGAAATTATGCATGACAAGAACCCTGAAATGGTTGCTGGTAAGAAGCAGAAGTTTGTCATGAGACCTCCTCAAGTGGTCCGTATTGGAACCAAGAAAACTTCATTCGCCAACTTTACAGAGATTTGTAAAACGTATGTTCTTTTCTGTACTTTTATCCTTTTCTTTTTGGTAAAGACCTTGAATTGACTGTTTTTAATTAACTTTTTCAGACTGCATCGGCAACCGAAGCATTTGTTGGACTTTTTGTTAGCTGAATTGGGTACTAGTGGATCTGTTGATGGAAATAGCCAACTGATTATTAAAGGACGTTTCCAACAGAAACAAATAGAAAATGTTCTTCGACGGTATATTAAGGAATATGTAACATGTCATACCTGTCGATCACCTGACACCATTCTTCAAAAGGATACCAGGTTGTTCTTCCTTCAATGTGAAACCTGTGGTTCCAGATGCTCTGTTGCTTCCATCAAATCAGGTTTCCAGGTAATGATACTTGAACCCATCTATTCATGTACTTTCAAGCTTTTTATCTCATTTAAATTGTTCTAATCTTACCCATTACTTATTTTTAGGCTGTTACTGGAAAACGAGCTGCTATTCGAGCAAAGACAACTTGAAACTATCTTTTCACCTTGCTATGGTCCGTTTTTACATCAAAGTATGGTCTACTGTACATTGGTTATATAAAAAGAAAAACAACCTATCATCACGTTTCTGGTGTGAAGTGGTTTATTGAGCTGTAATTTAATGTGTTCTTTTGAACAGAAAAGCCCTTTTGCACATGCGTGGAAAATGTTATTGTTATTCCTTTGATCTGGAGGATCAGTCCTGTTAATAGGTTTTTCACTTTTATCATTATTATCAACTTTTCTCTGCAAACATCCAATGGAAGTACCAAGTCATCTTTGAAGCAGGGACATTAAATAAATGATTTGTATTGGACATTTTTTAATGCAATTTTTTGGTCATAAGTTCACAGTATTGCGCCCCCTTTTCTATTAAAATTTGTGTGTGTGCTGACACTCTGGATGACTGACTTTGTCAATATATTCATGGTTCACAGTTTGTACTTGTGTTGAATTTTCCCTTCCCCTATAAGACACTAAAATTACATAGATATAGCTTTGAGGCTAATTCTCCAAATCTTTACCTTGAATAATTACAAGGTCAACTCAGAGTTCAAACATACTTGATTTGGAAATATGTCATGGGATTGTTCACATCTGCTATCAGAGGTGTCTTTACCTAGAAGCCATTGCTTCATACTGGACAATACTACAATTACCCAGAGAGGATACTAGTGTTTTCAATCACCTGTCTAACCTGGCCTTCTCTATTGGCTCTGCCATACAAAAATGAATGTCTGAAAATCTTATTTAGCTCTTTCTTTCTTTGTCTTAGTCTCTTCTGTATGAATTTAATAAGTTAATGAATGAGTGAAAATGAAAAACCAAACTTTAATTAAAAACTGTCTTCATTTTATTTATTTACAATGAAATTCTGAAACAGGGTCTTACAGAAATATCACAGGAGTATAATTGAAATACGTACTCAAAATGCGCAGGCAAAGTCTATTTACACAAGTAGCTTGCATACTTTTCATTGATGCAATTTGTCACAAATTCATACAATATTAAAAAAAACTGCAGTTTGTCTTTTAGAAGGACATAATGCAGGGTAACAATCTGGCCAACTGCATTGGCTACATTTTCTTATCTTAACACACCATTTTAGGACTATAACTCTCTTCACCAAAGGAAGAATCTGATTCTAAACAGCGATGGGTCTTTTCAGGTGTCTTGTCATGCATTGCAGCATACCTTTTCTTGAGAACTAGCATAAGAACTGTGTTAGGGTCTGTGGCTGGCGGGGCCTGTCGCAAAGGTGTTCCACCAGGAGATCTGCAAAAACATGGCAATATTTTTATTAATTATAGAATTCCATCAGCACTTTGAACAAGTGAGTGGGAAAGAGATAAATACCTTTCAATCCGTCGAAGTTTTACTTTGCCCATGTCCTTCAGCACATCTGTCATGTCAAAAGGAACTTTCATGCCAGATGGACGTTTTGGAGTAGTGGGATTGAGAGTTTGAGATTTTGTTATAGTCAAACGTGGTACTGAGAGATTGCCCATGGGAGGCAATGGCGGCGGTGGAGGTGGAGGTGGAGGTGGAGGTGGTGGAGGAGGAACCCCAGGAGTTGATGAAGCCATAGGTGGAGGAGCTGGTATTCTTAGAGCATCTTTGCGTTCTGCAAATACAGGGAGAGAGATCATTGATTTAGTTTGAAGCAGAAGCAGAAGGAGTAAACATGAACTTTCTAAAAACTAACCAGCTTGTAACTGTGCTGCCATGATTCGGGACATCTGCTCTCTGAGTACCTGAAGTTCTCGCTCTAAATTGTCAATTTTTTGAGTAACTACTCCATCTTCTTTACTGTCATTAATTGAGTTCTCAGCATCTGGTCTCTCCTCACTTTTGGGCCCAAACTCCAAGAGATCTGGTTTTACGCTCATTTGAGAGGGACTATGGTCACTGCAACATTAGAACATTAAGAGAAAACACAGTTTATAACAATTTGAGGATGAATGTGATTATGGCAGTGGAAAGAAGAAATGGAAGCAAACTGTACAAACCATTTGTGAAATTTGATTTGATGACTCATTTTCTCTGAAGCTATATCTTCAGCAAGGGCAGTGTTCTTAAAGTTGTACACAACATTACTGGGATTTTTCACAATGTTGAAGAATATTCTGGGTGCTGGTCGCAGTGGAAGCAGAGAGCTAAGCATACGGACCACACTTCTGTACCGACCACATCTCCTAGGTATATTATCACTCTGAAAAATTGCCACAATGTCAGACTCAACCCATAGTTTGAATACATAATTTACACAATTCTCGTAGATCTGAGAAAAATTTACAACATGCAGGAGGGTTAGATTCGACATGATGTAGCTCTGGTACTTTTGGAAGCAAAGCATGATTTCTTTCCAAGTGGGCCAGATTTTCTTCTCAGTCGAACAAAAGTAGACAACTTACCATTCTGATTTTGAAAAAAAACTAATCACGGAGGTACTTTTAAATTTGACACATTTTTCTTTTAAACAACCAGCATTAAGCAATGGCAACAGATGCCGGTGAAAATGGAGCGCGAACAAATTTTGAATAAAGAAGGTTCGACACTGCCTTATAGTTTATCAAAGCCATGTCGGATGCAATGTTGACCAACCTCAAAACAAACCACACGAACTCTGAATCTCTGATAGATTGATGTTATTGTTCGGAATTGTGTAGAGATATTTTATATTATGTGAAATTAACTTAAATAAAACGTGATAGATTGAGATGTGGATCGTCTTTAAATCACAATTTTCCACCTAATTCTTGAAGATTGTTGGCAGCAGTGGATGACTTGATAATCACTCAAACATTGAACATTTGTGTTAAGGTTAGATTTGTTTTCGACAAGTAAAGAAATTTCCATTTCTCTCGTGATAGTCGTGGTACTAATCTAAAATGGTAAGGTATACCCGACAATAACTTTCATTGAACTACTGTTAATGTTACTTTAATTTTCTCGATTAAAGTAAGAAAACTTGGACGGGTTACCGGCTCTGCTTTGGTTTTGTGTAGTTGCTTTTTCAGTTCAGTAACAACAAATATCTTTGTCAGCGCTCACTGACTTGTGTCTCAATAAAAAATTTCTTTTCAAAAAACTCAAGGTTCTATTGTGTATTAATTTTTTAAAATCTTTTGCAGTTGTTTTACTCATTCTTTAAATCCCTTGTTGGGAAAGATGTTGTGGTCGAATTAAAGAATGATTTAAGGTACGTTGAACTGTTTGTCATAAAGTATTACAAAGTGCTGTTACTCTTTGCCCCCATTATTCCTGTTATTTCTTCGTTTCAGTATTTGTGGTACCCTACATTCTGTCGACCAGTACCTGAATATCAAACTTACGGATATCAGTGTTACAGACCCTGATAAATATCCTCATATGGTGAGTTCCATCCTCTTTTAACCTTCAAGTAACTGTTTTCTTGTGCTCTTCTTAATTTTTTAAAAATTCCTGACAGCTGTCAGTGAAGAATTGTTTCATTCGTGGCTCTGTGGTCCGATATGTTCAATTACCTGCTGATGAAGTAGATACTCAACTCTTACAAGATGCAGCTCGGAAAGAGGCAGCAGTGCCAACTCGATAAAATTTATCTTAAGAGTATTACATTAATAAATTGACCATTTGCTGCTAATTTTCTAATGTGTTGAAATTCACCATCCAGGTGTTTCATGTCATTTCTCAATTTTCCTTGGAGATCTAAGATTGTGTACCTTCTCTGTTTAATTTATGGTTCCTAATCTTTGTTGTTTCCCATTTCATTTCTTGCAATGATTAAGTTTTTCCTATTCTTCTCTCCCATATGTAACAGCGTGTTAAATTAAAATTGCGAGTTAAAGTGCTCTAAGAATTTTGAACTATATGTTAAGTTTTACTGTAAGACTAATCAATGCATGAATATTTTGCTGATTCTTTTGCCACATTACAATTTCTTTTATTTTTCTTGTGTGTGTAATCAGTTTTGGCTTGTACAAAGTAAGACAGCTCCCTTTGTATGGAGAAATTCCTATCAATGCATTTTGTTTCTTGTCATTCAAATTTAATTTTTAGTTTATGTCTGTTTGAAATGTGCTTGTACAATGTACAATTTTCATAAATTGTAAAATATTACATTGAAAATATCAAGTTTCTCTTTAGTATTCCTATCTCATTACATGACTAGTGCCAAACCTGGTGTATATGTTGGGGGGTTGGGGGGTTTTGAGTCTCAAATCAGAAAAGACTTTTTAATAACATTGTATCTATATATGAATTGTACAACAAAAATAAACACACAACACAGTGTTGTTACCCTTTACCACAATATCACTCAAATATATTAATACTGGTACAGAAGACTAGAAAGGAATGAACTTAGCTATGTAAAATTTTAACAAAAAATCTTTCTTGAATTCATCTTTGGCAAACCCATTTCTCCCTATATCCATCCACTCAGAACTTTTCCCTCTTCAATTTGTCCCGTTTTAAAATTTATAAAAGAATGAAAATTGAAACTTGAGACACTTTGTAAGAAGGTGTTGTCTGAGAGGAGTTT